TTTATTTATATTACATATTAATCTTGTGTTTTTTCGTACTTTGGAAAATTGTTTATTTAGTAATTTGTTTAGTAATGTTTGGGGATTTCCGTACATTTTTTTTCTCAGCTAAAATTCGCAAACACCCTTTTCCCTTGCAGAGCAAGCACTAATTAAGCTTTCATTCAAATTTTTGTGTCTAACTTTATTTGGTTTTGGGTGCATATTATCAAAAGGAAGCCCTAAGGCCTAAGGAAAGAAGATGTGCTCCTCTGCCCAGATAAACCCAGAATCCCAGAGACCCTAGAATCCCAGACAACCCACTGATAATGATGTTAATTTTCTGTTATAGTCATTAACCTCATCATTCTATGGGCCAAGGGGATGATGATGTTCTGGCCAGAGGCCAGGGGCCTAAACAGGAAATCACGATTTGTTTAGCCTTATTTTCTTGGGCTTTGAACTTAAGAGAATTTACGCCCGCAATTAGCGGATAAAGCTGTAGGAAGCAAGCGAGTTTCCCTCTGAAAAATCTCACTGTCTCTTCTCTCCCGGGCAACAAATTGTCACTTGGATTTCTGGTTTGCATTTGACAATTGACACAGCAATCAATTTTAATGAGCTGGAAAATTTTACTGAATGCTAATTGTTGCTTCTTGAATATGAAATTTTTGCCCCGTAACTTATTTAGAATTCTACTACTCTCCGTAGCTTGGAGCTTAATGAAGTTAAAACACTGTATAAATCATTGTTGTTGTTTATATAACCCGTTTTGGAGTCTCCACAATTATTAATGGGTTTTGATGGTTAACTGATGGACTTAAGAGCCATGTTTTTTTTTTCTTCTAAGGTGAGGGCATTGTGTGTCTTAGATGCGATTAAATTAATTTAGAATGGGTTTGGAAAAGTCTGAATATTTTGTATGGGTTATAGTTAGATTTGTGGAATATTTCTGGATTTTTATACCCGCTACTCAAAGAGTAAATATGTAAATGTATGTAACGCACAGAAGGAAACGTATCCGACCCCATAAAGTATATATATTCTTGATCAGCATCAATATACGAGTCGATAGAGCCATGTCTGTCTGTCCGTCTGTCTGTCTGTCCGTCTTGTTTGTCGGCTAGTTCTCAGAGACTATAAGAGCTAGAGCCACCAAATTTTGCATCCAGACTGCTATATGCTCACACTGAAATCAGTGTATTTCAAAAATGAGCCACGCCCCCTTACGCCCCCGCAAAAGGGCGAAATCTCCTAAAATCAAACCTTTTATCTTTTGAAGATAAAAGAAAACTTAAAACGCCATTCCGTAGGGAATTTCCATATCTATCAGATCACCAAATTGGGATCCAATCGGATCATTATTATAGCCAGAATGAAGAAATGAATTTTCAGTGGCTAAACCCACCCTGTCCCGCAGCTTTTGTTGCTCTTTTTACATTCTCTCATTCACACTCTGCTTCTGCTTCACTCGGCCCCTGCCTCTGCCCTCCCCCTGGCGTTGACTCTTCCGACTTTTAACCAAGACTCGGTTTTTAACGCTCTGTATTAGAGTTTGTTTGTTTGATGCATTTTATTTAGTAGGCTTTTACTACGTGTTCTGTAATGTGAACGATATCTAGTGGTTGGCGATGTCTTCTACATCTAGATGTAGTCCTGAGTGCCGGGTATAAAAGTTGTGACGCGTAAGAAGCGTCTCACACGTCCCTTCTCGTTGGGAACAGTTTTCGTGATGAAATAAATCTCTTATGTTTTTCCACAACTCATTCAATCTTATCTTTTGTTCTTTTTATAATTTTTTTTGATAACTTGTCCACTTCTTACAGGCCGTAATTATCTTGAGAAGTTAAACCACAATTCATCTGCAAGTCAGATGCCACAATCTCAGAGGATTTATCACAGATAAATGCTTGAGATACTGTATCTAAATGATCAAAGTTCTAGATCATCCGCTCCCTTTTTTTTGCCCCTGTTTGAAGATCATTTGGCACACGTATGCTAATTGCCACCTGAGTGTGGAACCGCCGATCTCCATATCTGTGTCTGCATCTCCCTCCGTTCGTTTCTGAGTCTTGCTCTGCCTCTTTTAGTATCTGTATCTCAAACAACGAACAAAGTTCATCGACCACATCTCTTCTGGGAGATGACAACAAGTCGTGTGTGAGAATTTCGTGTTGAAGTTTACACCTTTTTCGCTGCCTCTGCTGCTGCTGCTGTAAGCGATACATTTGAACAATTTAATGTTACATCTGAAACATTTTTCCCCTCCACCTAATGCAGGATATAAACAAGAGCCAGGAGGTGCACGGTGGGAGGAGGGGAGGGGCGGGTAACATCTTAAAACCAAGTAGAACAAATATCATTTACAGTTTTTGACCCACTTTTATTTTCAGGCTCCTTTTTTTATGAACCGCCAACGGGCAATGGTGACGACAACATCAACGTCAGCGCAGCCAACGTATGCATTTTGATACCCTGTACGGAAGTGGGGTGTGCTGGCTTCGAAAATACACAAAGTAAATTCCAGAAAAATACTTTGGTATAAAAAATTAAATTCTAGAAAATTTAACAACAACTAAAATAAAATCTACATTTATTTATTTTATTCAATATTCTTTATTGCTGAGCCTCCAGCTAGTCGATCCCTTTTGCAACTTATAGGGGAGTACTCCCCACTTGCTTTGCCTATGAATATAATAGTAAAAGTGAATGCAATTCTTTTTTTTTTGCTCTCTTTTCTCTCCCGCTCTCTCTCTCTCTCTCTCTCTCTCTGGGGCGTTCTTTATGCATTTATTCAGAGGAGAGAAAACCGCGTCCTGGTGGTGGTACAGGCAACGGTGGACCTCGGGAGCTGATGCCGGCGGCAACCGCGTTGGCATACAACATAATTTTTTTTTTTGCGCTGCAGCTGATGTCGCCGTCTCCGTCGTCTCCATCGTCGTTGTCGTTGCTGCTGACGACATTTGGTTTGCGGGCTGTCGTCGTGGCTATTAAATTTCAATTATTGTTACATTTTTCACACACCGCACACGCAGGCGAAGGAAATGGATGTGGAAATGGCAATGGGAAAAGCGGCAAACGAGAAAGGGAAATGGGAGCAGGCGACAGGCGGTGTCTCGGCGTTGTTCTGGTTTGCATATTTTATTGATGCGTTCGTCTCCTGCTCCTCCTTCTCCCCCTTCAGCTGTGTGCATTGACATTTCATGGACTGTATAAAGACAGGCAAACCCTTGCATAGTGTCCAAAACAACAATTATCGAGCAGGTGAAGGCACAATTATCGCACAAAGTGAGCTGCTATCGATAGATGCGCCTCAACGCTTAGCCCCCTTGCCAATTAGAGGCGTAGAAGCCCAATCAGACTACAATTTCTGTCTCGCATTCATCAAGCAAGCGCTCAGTGTCCCGCCTGTCAGGCGACAGAGACCAGAGAGAGGAATATTGCGATTCGTGAGCAAAAGGATTGGCTCATTAAATGATTAAGGCCACGGGCAGCGAAGCACTTCAGGCAATGCCGAAGACGTGGAGGCAAAGGCAACGACAAAGTCGAAGCAAACACCTCAATGGCATTTTAATTGCGAAACTTGAACACACAAGAAGCAGAAGAAGGCGAAGAAGAAGTAGTGGAAGAACCAGCAAAAGAGCAGCAGCAAAGAAGAGAATAAAGCAAAAGCAACAGCAAACCGATTGCCATTCACTTTGGAGTGCCTCACGGCTTCCGGTTTGGCAACATAAGAAAACATTAAAAATAATAGAGAAATAGAAGACAGGCTGGAGATTAATGGAAAATTATCCGAAATATATAGTAAGAGAAAGAGCGATTAATCGCTTTTCAAGGGTATTAAATCCGTCGGCCCCACGAACTGTTATTTATTTCGTACATCTAGCAACTTGATCGAGCGTTAAGAAAGAGATGAAGTCAGCCAAAGGCAAAAGCCAAAGCCAAAAAGCGAAAAGCAGTTAGCCTATAGAGCAATCCATCTATGTGCGAGTATATATTGTATCTAGCAGATACATTTATATACGAGTAAATGTGAAGTCAGGAGCGAGAGCGAGCGTCATAAAGAAAAAGCAGTTTCGTAGCCCAGAAGTTGAACTTCTGCACAAAAGTTGCTGACATTTCGATTGCTGCACCAACTGCAAAACGACTATGACAGAGGAGATGGCAATGCAGGTTGCACTTGCCACAGCAGTTCTTCTTTTTATTATTATATTTTATATATATTATTTATGGCAGCAATGCAGCTTCTTCCAGCTTCATCTGCCACTTGTTTTATGGCCCCAGACGACATACAGGGAATTTTGTAGAGAATTTTATTGAGAGAATGCAGGAGGACGAGATGTTCCAGTTGTTAAATGAAGTTTTAGGCGAGTAAACAGATGAAAGCAATGGCAGATGTCAGCGATAAATTAGAGGCGAGATATACATAGGAAATATCTGACACAGAACTGGTCTTTAAAAGTGCATTATTAAATCGTTAAATATCTTCAAGTTGCTTCTGATTTGCATTCATAAGCAATCTTTGGACACTTTGAATCCAGTTTATCAATTAGACATGACTTTAAATCCTCATGGCTATTAATGTAACTCAAGAACAGTGATAAATCGAAGAAATCTAACAGATGTTTTTTAATATTTACTTAGAGATTATACAAATCCCATTTGCACTTTGCAATCAAGTTTTCAGTCAATTCTAATTCTTCTAAATATCATTCTCGTTAGTGCAACAAACATTTCCATGGAAATTGTTATTTCCATAGCGCAAAGAACTTCAGTCAGTTCCCTGTAAAGCAAACAAAAAGTTGAGATCATCAGTGTGTTCAATTCTCGAACACAAAAACATACTTCGAGTCAATTGTAAACCCCCGTCCGAACCTCCCTTGCGATGCACCGACAATTTGCTATCAAAACACTCGAGTTCCGAAGGTTCTTGGGTGCTTAAATACGACTAAAATGATTATTTACCCTCACAAGAGAGGACCCTGGGATGCCTTCTTCCATGCAGTTTATCCTTCAATGCAAATGACGTAGGGCTTACCTGCAATAAAAAACGAAACAAAATACGCATTAAAAAAAGCCAAGGAAATTTTCATTGAGATAAAATTAATGCATTATAAAGAAGATAGTTTCTGCAGGCCTTTGCCTGCTCTAATTATGTATGCAAGAAGAGAGAAAAACGCTCGGCAACTGATTTTTCTTGGAAGTGAAACTCCTTTAGCTAATTAGTTTTCAAAGGAGTGGAAGGAAGAACGACTCAAGGATTATGCGGACAGAGCGGCATATGTAAGCTTAATCCATTCATCCTTCTGCCGGATAGTTCTTCTGCCTTATCGCGCAACATGTAATTTAGCTAAATATGGATGCATCATGAATGCATCGTAAATTCAATGGCACACAGACAAAAAAAAAACCAAGAGATAAAACAGGAAGCAGGCATTGCCGAAAGGTTCTACAAGCCGAACTTGGGAATACCCTAGGAAACGGCAATACTTAAACCTTCTGCCAAAGCTAGAATACCCCAAGAGCGTATGAGTATCCCACGAAAGGAACGCACAAGAGACCAGGAACAGCCGTAGAGATTATCATAAAAAGAAGAGCGCCAAGAAGAGCTAACAAGAGGGTGGGGAAAAGGAATTTCCAATGAAGGGGCAAGACTGAAAAGCTCTAGAGCTGGCTAAGGAGCAGGGCAAAGACTTTTCGTCCAAACAAAGGCATATTTAAATGTTATTTTTGCCAAAACATTAGCTGAGGAACGCAACAAAAAGCCACTTGCAACAGCAGAGAGCCAACACAGATCCGAGAACAGGCGCAGCACAGAGAGGAGTTGGGAGTCACAACAGAGCCACAATTCCTTTCGTGGCTGTTAATTTGCCAAACAATTGGCAGATAGCCAAGCGGCCAAGCGGCTGAGCGACCCAGCAGCCGAGTGACCAAACAGAGAGACCAAAAGTCGGGAACCCCATACTCGAGAGTCAGAAAACAAAAGAAGACAGGAAGGCTAACAAGAGGCTCCGACTCCACACAACAAAACCCCAAAAGCTAGACGGGATGACGACTCCAACAACGATGTTGCATTGCCAATGAGCGGGAACGGAGGGGTTCAGATCTTGTTGCAGTTGCATATTTTGGCGTTGCACGTTTTGCTTGTTGCTGCTGCTGCTGCTGCAAGCCGCACAACAAATATGCCAGAAGCCAGAGACCGAAGAAGAGCGAAGACCGAAAACCGAAAGACCAAAAGAAGTTAAAGTAGCCCCGAAACACAATCATCCGCCAAAAACCTTGGCTCATCCCAGAGTGCAGCTCCCTTATCCCTTTAGCTGCCCCCTCCCTTTCTCCTGTATCCCTCCTCCCACCCCAACTCTTCAAGCCATAAACGAGTTGCTGGTTGTCTGCTGCCGGCTGCCTGCCCCTCCCCAACTCTTGCGGAATAACAAACATTTCAAAAACGCGCCAGACCTCCCCCCGGACCACAAGACTCCAAGACCCCGATGCCACGGACTCCAAAAACTGCAAAACTGGATTCGAAAAACACAAGCAAAAGAGTCGCAAAGAAAATTTATGAAAATAAACGAATATTGAACGCTCTATAGGAAGGGTAATACAATATCAATAGCCGAAATAGAGTCTAAATTCAACATAAAGTATTTGTGGTAACGAGTCTCTCAAGTTTCATTCAATCTTCAAGCTCTTCTCAAAGGACGTCTACAAACCCACATACCCTATACTGCACACTCAATCAGAGGTTAGGGTATTCCCTCTCCTTCCTTCAGCATCAAAAACAATCGACAGACAACTTTGAAGCCGGCGCTCCATAAAAACTGGTTCCAGTCAAGTTGTGTGGTGGGGGCTTTGGGGGAGACGCCGCCTTAATCCGGCATTCTTTCGGCCCAGAGTTCGTGATTAACTGTTGAGAGGTGGTGGATGGAGCGATGAAGCTGTGGAGGGAGCTTGGAAGGTAGGCAAACATCCACAGAGAGACAGAGAGAACGAGGTAGAGATCGCAAGAGATTCGGATGCATGTAACTCAATCTTGAGGCAGGAGATCATTAGGCTTTTATGTTGCGGTTCTCTGAGGTTCGGATCTCGCGGTTTGAATCTCTCGGTTTCCGACCTCTCCTCCATCTGGCTCGCTGTCTGTCTGTCTGCCGTGCCTTTTGGGGCTGTTTAAAAGTCAATTTCAAGTTCAGACAATGGCTCGTAGAAGGCTTCACTGATTGATGCGACTCATCAGGAGGCAGGGACCAGCAGAAGGTTTTCAATTGGAGAGCCAGAGAGTGGCAGTAGAAGGGTTATGTGGCAGATGAACCGAGAGATTCTGGCGCTACCAAAAATCAGTTTAAACAATGTAGAAAACTCCTTCCCCGTCCCCAACAAAACTTGGCTAAGTAGTTCTCTGGCGTTTCAGTCATGAACTGGCATTCCCCAATTCGATTCCTTTATGGCAAAAAAGAATGAAAATAAAAACTAATGACCACAATTTCTGGGGCGTCTTCTCTCTGATGGATAGCAGAGCCAAAAGATTGATTTTTAGGAATGAGCAAGAAATGCGAGGGGAAAGAAAAAGAGATGCAGCAAGGGAAAAGGAGATGAATGGAATGGATGAGGATGTGGATGAGGTTGGGGTTCGGTTCTGGGGTTTTTGGACTGGTTGTTGATTTGATTATTTGAAGACGGCCACGAAAATCAATTTGTGTTTCGACTTTTGGGTTGTACGTGACTTCTCCCCGAGTAGATAGGAACTAAAAAAAAAATAATAAAGGAAGAAGATTAAAGGAAAACTTAACAGAAATACGAGAGAAAGATGCAAATCAGATGAAAACTATGGCAAAAAAGTTGGCAAGAAAAAGGAAAAATGTATAAAAAAAGAAAAAATTAAACAACAAAATATACAAAACCCATACAAATTGTTGTAATTTGTTTCCATTCGAATATAATAATAATTTTTTACATTTTTTTTTTCTCTCTCTCTTTGTATTTACAATCTGTTTGTTTCCAATGAGCCAGTTTTCCAATGAGCCCTGCTACTATATATAACATCTTTTCAGTTTGTTGGATTTATCCATGGGGGAGATCGCGAACGTGGTTTTTTTTCAGTCTTCTTACTGTTAGGCTATTGTCTAATAGACTCAAGGCTAAATTATTTTCATGGTTGCGGAGCCTGTCGATGTATTTCTTACTAGTTTTCTTTATTTCTTCTTTAATGGTTGGAATATTCAGATCTTATTGGAAATTTTTAAATGAATAATTTTTTAAAAACAATTTTCTGCTTTGTAATTTTAAATTTGTGACTACCACAGGTGGCTGAACTCATATAAATATGTAAATATCTTTACTATTTCCTGCTGTAATGGCTACAACGAGTGCACTTTTATTCCCATCGCTGACCACAGAACCAACAACAACAAAAAACACCTAAAACCAAGTTCATGACCGCAATCAATGCATTCTGTAAACCAAACAGGAAGTGCCACAAAAATATCCCCAAAAGTACCAGAAAAAAATCAACAAAAAGCAACAAAGCATAGGTAAAAAAACCCAAATAAAAGATTAAAAAAATTAGTTTTAATTTCAACATTGTTCACGGCTGAGATCAAGCTCCCCGCTCCCCCCGGAAGCCTGCACAAACCTCAATGTGAATCACTTGAGCGCAACAGAGAGACAAACGGAGGCCCCTTCTGCTCTTATTTAATGGAGTTTGAGGGTCAACGGAGCGGGTCATTCGTTGTCTGCTTTTCATTTTCGTCATATCATGGAATCTGCGCTACAAGAAAATGCTCCCCAAACAACAACTGAATCATCTTTGTGGATTCAAAGAGCACTCAGTGTGTGCTTTTTCCCCTTTTCGTAATTATCTTTAATTATAATGATGCACAACAAATTAATGACACTTCAATTAAGCGGCACACAGCAACCGAAAACAAGAGTCTGTGTAAACCCCGGACATGTACAATTTTCGGCATCAAAGGCATCAGAAAAGGAGCATAAGAGAGCAGCGAAAACCCAAGAGAAACTTGGCCGAAATTCTGTATTCAATTCTGTATAAAAATAATGTATAATCAGGAGAAAATATCTCCATTCACAACGATTTTTGTATGCCCTAATAAGTACACATAAAATTCCTTAGGGATTCAAGGGGATCCGTTTACCCTCTGAACCAAGTCGATAGACTCTGCTCTCTTGGATTGCGAATATTTTTGAATATATCCATAGATCTAAGTAAAAATTCCATCAACCCAGCTTTTAAGTCAAAATTTCCTTACATTTTTCTCCCCCTGATTTATTCTCATTCTGATTTTCTCAGCTCTCACGTAAATATCAAATAATTGTAATTCAAAGCCAAAATCCGAAGAAAAAGAAATAAAATAATTTTCAAACAGTCCTAATCCGCTTGTGGGCGCGACTCGTGACTAAATGTCGATCCAAAACTTAAATACTCGCGATCCTTTTGCGGATGCCTCGAAGGGCAACGACGATGATATCCAGGACGGACTCATCCACATTCGCATACAGCAGCGGAATGGTCGCAAAACTTTGACCACTGTCCAGGGACTGTCGCAGGAGTATGACCTGAAGAAGATTGTGCGCACCTGCAAGAAGGAGTTTGCCTGCAATGGTACTGTCGTCGAGCACCAGGAGTACGGCGAGGTTATACAGCTTCAGGGCGACCAGCGGGAGAACATTTGCCAGTGGCTGACCAAGGCCGGATTGGCCAAGGCCGATCAGCTGAAGGTTCATGGCTTTTAAGCAGGTAGCGCAAGGGGGAGAAAAAATCCAAAATCCAAAATCAATCCAGCAGATCAAGAGTTATACAATACAACAAGAGGAAGCCACCAACAATAGACCCTTCCTTTTGAGAGTAAATAATTGTATATCATATCATATCATATCATACATCAAATTAAATGTGCGCGGTGCAACTAAATTTGGAGATTACACATCGATTGCATTATAAAAAGCATTTGTGACCCAGCAAAGGAGCCTTTTACTTATGCGAAATTTGCACAGCAATACAGGATACGGCAGAGCAAACAGGCAGGCTGCTTTCCCGTCTCTTCCTCGTCGAAAAAAACAACATTAAAGAGGCTGCTGTCACACAAAGAGGTTGTCCCAACCAATATACAAGATATATGAAAGTACACACGTACATATGTAAATATATGTATACATTGAGGGATTGCGTGTGTAAATTTGTGTGTACATATGTCTCTTTGACAACGTAGTTGATGCTCTGACAACTCTTTTGACACTGCGCCTACTGTGATGCCCAGAGGAGGGACAGCCACACAGCAAAATGTCAGTCAAGTTTCAGTTGCAGAAAAGTTTCAATAAGTAAAAAAGTAATAACGAAGTGTATTTACATATATTGATAAATGAAGTGTGAAAATTCGTATCAAATATTTAGAGAGCTCTAAACCCCCAAGACCGTCAGCAATCGAACAGCAAATGTAAGGCAAATGCAAAAAGTTCTTTATAGACAATTTTAAATGCTCTTTTCAGCCCCTTCACTTGAGGGACATTCAAAGAGCATAGTTATATGCTCAGAATGGACCCCGCAATACAGAAACTCTGATTTCTAGCAGAAAAAAATCAAAACGGATAATGGCAAGCTCTCTAGTTAATACCCATCAAAATGAAGCTTAAAATGTCCGAACTTGTTTAAATATTTTTCAACATCTTTCAAAGATTTTCCTTCAATTTTCCAGTGCATTTTTGCACTTCGTTATGGTTTCCTTTGATTGCTTTTACTCTTCAGCGTTTAACCTCTTTATGTTTTATATAATTTGTGGCATAAAATGCAAGTCGAGTGCTGGCGGGCATTATGGCTGCTTTTCTGCTTTTTGGCTTCATTTCCTTTGCATCCTGCTACTCCTTCCTGCCCCTTTGTTCCTTTCTCTCTTCCTCTTACCCAGCAGCGAATATTATTTCGTTTATTATTATTATAAAAGGAATTCTTTCAAAATGTTGTCGCATTATTGTCAATATCAATAATGTGGCCCCCCATTTGGCGGAGTTCGTTTGATTCTCCCCTGCCCCAAACGATTTGTCGCCACAGAAGTCTCCACTCTCTTTATTACGCTCTTTTTTTCTTTCTCGTGTTTTTATGAGGCCATCAATGTCTGCATTAAATTGCAGTTAAATTGCATAAATTCCGTGCTTGCAATATGAGAATGCTCCATTAGGCTCCATAAAAAGGGGCAGAAAGCCGACAGGGAGAGAGAAAGACTCAGGGTTTGGAGTTTTCCATAAACGAAAGGCCCTTGCTGTCCTGCCATGCTGTCCAAGCGCAAACAGCGCTTTCCGTAATTACTTTTCCGCCTTGCCCCAATTAATGTATGTTCCACATTTCCAATAGTTCGACTATTTTTAACGCACTCTCCATGCCACATTGGAGGGGTTGGAGAAAAGCTATTTGTCGAAATCATCACCTCAGAGCCCCCGGCACCAGAGACCAGCCCCATGGGCGCATCCCCTCCCAAAAAAAAACCAAAAGTTCCTCTAGTTTTCTTTTGAGCACTCTTCGACGCTTTTCAAAAAAAATGGGCAGTTTTTCTAGTTTATTACTCGGGCATTCATCAATTGCAACACGGAAAATGGGGGAGAATGGGAAATGCACTTCAAGTATTTTTCAACCAAAAAAAAAGTAATAATAAAAACCAAAACACTGCACAACAAACGAAATAGAAATCAAAGTTTGAACAACGAGCAACGAGAGAGGGGAGGTGGGTCAGAGAGCTGAAGCAGAGTGTGCGGCCAGAATCAAGTGCTTTTTATACTCTCTACGAAATGGGACATGTTTCGCTTTCTTCGAGTCAGAATCATCAGAAAGCAAAGCTTTCGAGGGAAATCAAATCCTTTTTTATTAAACAATTCTCCGTGGGTTTGTTTTTGCAGATGAAGCCAACACATTTCTTATTTATTTCTGCATTTTTCTAAATGTCCATTAATTTGTACTGCTTTATCCAGAAATCCCATGGGAAGGATCGCAGAGTATCCAGTTACCCAGCCTCTACGCCTGTCGTTCAATAATATGGCAAATGGCAAAGAGAGAGAGAGAGAGAGAGAGAGAGAGAATGAGAAGGCGGCGGTAAAGTTTCCTTTTGATTCTGAAGGTAACTGGAAAAACTACAACAAAATAAATATAAACAATGCACAAAACACACACATAGAAGAGAGAGAGAGAGAGAGCAGAGCAGAGGTAGAACACAGAGCAGAGCAGAGGGAGGAGCGCTTTAGCAATGTAAGAACAATGTCATGCAATCAACTTTAGACCAAGAGCAGCAGCAGCACCAGCAGCAGCAAGCCCCAAAAACCAACAATAAAATACAACCACAGCAACAAAAACGCAGAGCCACAAGCAGAGGAAATGCAGTGAAGAAGTGGGGAAAAGGGAACAAGAGAGGAGAGGAGCACGAGCGAGAGAGTACAAAAACTAACTGTAATATATAAAAAAAAACAACAAAGTAGAAACTAAAACCAATGGAAAGCAACAGGAGAACACACACCACCAACATCAAGCGGCATACAAATAACAAAAACAACAACATTGAGCCCCTCTACAATAATCAACATTTGATTCTTTTTTCTTTTTTTGCCTGCCTCCCTGGCAAATTTGAACAATTTGTACAGTTTCTTTCATTATTATACACTATTTGCACACTTTGGGGCGGCCATAGTTCCAGTTCCAGTTCTTAAAGGTTATATTTGAGAGAAACTGGAATAACTGAAAGATTTAACAAAGAAATAATTCACCTTCAAGGGTTTCACAAGCATCGGATAACATACCCCCAAGCTACATACTGTATGCACCTCTTTTCTTTTCAATCATATTTCTAGCTCCCTCGCTCTCTCTCTCTCTCTCTCTCTCATTCTTTCTTTCAACTTGTTTTATGTGTGCAGTCTTGGTAGCAGGTGAGAGATTAATGTGCATTACTGCCACTCTTTAGCCCCCACTACTCCTTCACATTTGCTCTGCACTGCATCGCCGCCACCCTTCATCTCGGTTCTACTCATCTTTCATTCTAGTTCTAGTTTTTGGTTCAAGGTTGCTCCCAGCACTTTTCCCCCATAAGCAATATGTCGATTGAATTTCAGCTTTTGTGGTTTTCATTCAAGCAAAACGTTCGTTGCGAAACAAGCAACAAGAAAAATGATTTAAAGGTGTTTTATTTCCAGGGTTAGGTTATACCTATACGTACATATGGTACAATGTAACTACACCTTAAGGTTTCTATAACGTTAAACACATCTTAGTTACTAAGTATTTTCATTGTATGGTTGAGAAATCGTTCCATATATGGAAGCAAAGTTTCTGTTCAAGATTTATAGGGTGTGTGTGTGTGTACGGTGTGTCATTAATTAATGATTGAGGAGAAGGCATGATACATGACCAACATTAACCCCTTCCCTGATGAGATTCCCTTTCCAATTTTTGTGCTTGTATTTTTTGAAATCGATTTACATGCACTTTTTATGTATCAATCTCTAATGGAGACCTTTTTTCCCTCCTTCTCTGCCTGGGTCTCAATCTCCAATTAAAAGTACGAGTGTGCTGGTATCTCATGTATCTTTTTGCGGTTTTATTGGTTATGGACCGGATGGAATGCACAGAAATACAAACAGACAGAGAGACGACAGTGTCACCATCCCATCCATGGCATGCCACAAGCTTGAATTGAATCTGTGACTTTTTAGCTACAAAAATCCCATAAATTTGCTCGCTTTGCAGTTTCTCTGTCTCTGTCTCGATCTCTTTCTTTTGTTTTTTAGCGGGTCAAGGTTGACAGAACACACAGCGGATATATGTAAGCCCACAATCCCATACGTTGCCAAAAAAATGAAAAAGCAAAAGGAAAAGAAGTCTCCTGACAAGAAAAGTAGCAGCAAAATTTACAGAGCAGCAAATATTAACTATGACATTTATGACACACTTTTCTTCCTTCCAAGACACTTTTCAGCAAGTTGGTGGGGGAGGGGAGGCATGCAACAAACAACAATTTATTGTCACGTGCCAAAAAGTACAAACATATACAAAAATTGTATAACTTTGGCAAACAACTAAAGTAAGTGAAAAACGAGTGAACGAGACAGAGAGAGAGAGAGAGAGATACAACCAAGTGGAAGAAGAAAATGAACTCAAGACAAAAAACAAATATGAAGTGAGGGGGGTCATAACGACTAAAAGTTACCTCCGAAATGTGTTAGTTCTTATGAAAGAAAACTATCATTAAATACAAGACAGGGCTGCAAAAGATTTATCTTTACATTTATTTATAGAGAGTTAATTTATAGAAAATTATTATCCTAGCTCAAATAAAATATACATTCTTTTGTTTTTGCAAGGACATAGCCTTTAATACCCTTTTACAGGGTATCCTCGCAAATAACGGTTATTCAAATCTGCCCAGAACAGGCAACAGCAGCAGCAGCAACTTCTTGGCAGCTTTCCTCAAAGTCCACGTTCTTCCTTTCTCCTCTCTTTTCATCATTGCTTATTCTCTTATTCTCTTATCTGCCATCTCTCTTCTTTCTCACCCATCATAATGCCATAAATTTTGTGATTTCACATAAATTCTCGTCTCTTTCCGGGAGTCTCCTCCATGCCTCATCCTCTCTGCTGCTCTTGCCTGCTACTTCTCGTTCTATTCTTTTGCATTGTTCATATTTGCATATGAAATCATGTGTTAAAATGCAGTAGCTTTCAAATATACACATATATTTTGCTTTTTTGTGTGGCAATATTTCTTCGACTTTTCGCAAAGAAGGTGCCGAAAGTGGGTGCTGGCACGCACATGTACCCAGGAGTTGCATCATTCTCTGGATAGAGAATGCAAACAAACATATCTGTACATATTTGTATGTTTTTTTTCTCCACATTTTTCCAAATGTATTTTATAAGCAGAATGTCAACTCGCTTGAGTGAAC